GACTGTAATACTTATTAATAGGTAGTCGCCATTTTTATTGCTGTTTTTTTTTAATTATTTTCACCTACCCTCAAATGGGTTAAAGCTGAAAATCAATGTTTTGTTATCTGACTAACTTTCAACTCGTACGACCATTTTATATCGCTGCGGATCACATAATAATGATACTTGTTATTCAATTGTTAATTGAACTATGTATTATCTACATTTATTGAAATATAATTGTGTATGAATTTCAATAAGCATATAATAGATTAATCTATCTATTTTATAGTCACGCTGTATAACACCTATATTTGAAACTAGATAATAAACAAAAGTAGCTCATTTTTTATGCATTCATAAAATGTTAAACTCCATTTTATATTTTCAGAAAACAATCTTTATTACCACCGCAGAAAGCACATAATTGTGGGTTACATAACAGATAAGTGTAGGGCTGTGTATGTGGCTTTTATTGTGAGTTCGCCCTTTAATAAAATGCGGTATCGCATGTAAATGCGATTCGATTCGATATATTGGGGTCGGTTGGAGGCGTGCACTGAATTTAATGACGGCACTCTTAGCTGCTACTATTGATATTCACATATTTGGACTACACCTGTATAACTTGTTTTTGATCTTTCGCCTTTAGTACATTAACGACGCCCTCGATGGTCTATCGCTTAACCACACCGTTTTACTTCAGATGGTAGCGGGTTCAGTTGCTCGCACCGTGCAAACATTTGTATTCCTAAGTATGATTATTTGTATCAGTCTGGGTGTTTTCTAGTTATATTAATTATGTATTTACAAAAATCTAAGTATTTATGTCAGTTGTCTAGTACCCATAACACAAGCTCTGCTTACCATAAAACTAGATGGCACTGTGTTAATTGTCTATGGTTATTTATTTATTATTAGTATAGTTAAACGGGTTTTAACTGTACCCCTTTATCTCTTTCCATCTTGAGTGATTATTAATTTAAAAAAGATTGATAACATTAGTCTATAAGTTTATGGACTGTGAATACTGAGTCTCGCGATTTTTCGTTGGACAATCTAATGATTGTTGGTAAACAAACTGATCTCACCTATAGACATTGACTTCGCCGTAACTCCAGTTAACCTGACTTAGAAATAGATACCTTATTTACCATAAAAAAGGTATTTATTCGTATAAACCCCGTTTAACTATATTAATAATATACATCCTCTGCAGTAGTAACTTTGCAGGAGCTTTTCAGTAGAACAGGACAGATAGTCTTTGAAAATGCAATATGTATTAGTAACGTGGTTTCATTACTATCAGATTTTAATAATATTGAATAATAATTTCATTGTTTTAGTCTCTACAGGATTAATGTATACACTGCTTTGTTAACAGTTTTTGACCAATATATACCTGGTACATAATCCATACTAGGTACCTTAGAGTCGCATGATAACGTGATACGGTGCTGTTACATACTGTGTACATATATGATGTATAAGTCACAGTTACCACTTACCATTTACTTATATCAGCAACAGCTGAGGCAGGTCTTCTTGCCAACTTTGTATGTTTGTTATATTGTTTACTTTCTTTTTTATTTTGTGTATTATTTGTAATTTGTTTAATGTTGCCAATAAATGTATTATCTATATATCTACCATTATCTGGACCGTCCGCTTGTTTGCCATTCCTATAATATAAAAAAAGTAACTAGAAAGTTTTACGGTTATGTAAAAACATGCACTGTATGACAATTTCTATTCACATAAAATGAAAAACATTGTTAAGTTTTATTACTTTTATTCAAACCTGCATAAGCCAAGTTATTGCCCATCTTGTCTGTAATAGCACAGAATATATAATAGTAGCCAGCATTATATATTCTGTCGCAATACAATGACCTATACCTATCATTATTCAATACCCATTCAAATATTACAAGTTACCACATTAATTTTGTTGCTATTTCAAAAAGTTACCCAACTGTATGGAAAAATACGAAGAGAAAATATCTCAAGAAAGTATGCATTATCAGACATCACCAGCCAAAGACAATAGCTTAACTGCTTAAGATATGCGCTATTCATTCGACAATTCAATGCGGAGTTAACGACAGTTATTATTACTCAATCCGTTATATAACTCTTAAACAATACTCGCATACAATAATTTCGGGCGGCTGTACTTTTTACATTGTTCTCGTTATTAATTGCTTTGTTAACATGAAGTCACAACTAGACATTGCATACAACCGTAAGTATTTGCCAATGTAAGTCTATATTCGGTTATTAAAACATACACGATATGTGATATCGAATCATGCACATTCATATTTTTTTCTATTCCATTCACATGCCATTTACCACCTTCTGTCTTTTCTCCCAAAGTTTTGAAGATATACCAAAAGCAAGACATTTCATTTTTCATAATTTACATGGAGACATCTGTACATATAAATAAAATTTGAGTGTCTGTTTGTAACATAGAAATAACCCTCTTTTACTACATGCATAGGAATATAAATATGGTACCTACACCAAAACAAAATTTTTTGCAATTTTATTTTGTCTGACTGTTTGTCTGTTTGTTCTAGGTAATCTCTGAAATGACTGGACCGATTTTGACGGGAGCTTATGTAATAAGGAGTAACTTTGGCTACTTTTATTTTAGAAAAAAAAAGTTAAATTCAACGAAGTCGCTAGTTTAAAATAAAAAGTGGTATTATTTACATAGTAAAATTTTCCTGTAATTATGTTAATTACAACCGCATTAAATTTAATAAATATGTACTTATGTTACACATAGTAATATAGGTGTTACCTATTGCCTGATATTTAGTACAAGGTGAATACAGTACACTAAAGTTTGCACGTAGGTAGGTGTGCATAGACAATTATCTGAGCAGTAAGCCTGAACTTTAAACTCATTTAAATGTTCGTATAGTTATAAATGGAACTGTTATGTTGGTAACTACAACGGTTAAGTAATATCATAGAGAATATATAGAGGACCATATTTGTTCTATGGTAGTATACAATGACAGGCAAAATAAGGGTAGGATGGCACAAATAAAGATGGATTGATGATATAAAAAATAATGCAGGAAAGGAGTGAATGCAAACTGCCATGGATTGGCAGAAAATGAACCTAAGAGGGCCACATAACAAGACAAAACAAATAAACCAAAAATATAATAATTATATGTTAGAAAAATATGTGTTACATAAAAGATTAAAGCTATATATAATAATAAATATAAAATAGCCTGTATTTCTGCTGGCATAGCTGCAGCGACAGAAACAATTCATGAGTATTATTCTTAAATAAAGAATTACATTTCTGGATGTAAGTATATATAACAAACCAAACAAACTCTGTCTGAATTTGTTATGGTATTTTTAGAGTCTCCTTAATTAAAGTCAATATATATTTTTTAAAAACGATGTGGCACAAGTGGTGGATCATAAAATGAACATAAGGTCAGGTCAGTTCGTCCATCGCGGCAAATTCACCAGGAAATTTCTCATGCGCTTCACGTCCATCGTGCATCTGAATCTGATACTGTTCATTATAGGCTATATACGGCTGCCACTTATCATCAGGTATCCTGTCGGCATGTTTGTCTTTCCAACAGTATAAAAAAACATAATGCTTTATTTTTGCACGTTTACAATCTTTCCTTTAGACAATAAGCAATGCCACCTCGATCACTTGGTGAAAATATACCACTTTCTGTTAAAGGAATTGAACCTATTCCCCTTGGGGCCGGTCATGAACAAGAATTGAAGGAATTTTATCAGATTTAGGTATAAAAGGTAATCCATTAATGGATCTCGAGTCCCAATGGACGTACTCACGTTTGTAAATCTGTGTAACTTTATGTGATCTGTTTACAAATTTTGATACATCAGTTACCTATAAACTTTGTTGATAAATACAATAATATCGTAACTAATGATTGTTAGATACATTATAAAATAAAAATGTACCAGATGAGTTTCTTGCTAGTTCAGCTCGTTACCCGTACTACTAAGACGGTATTGGTCACAGATAAAACGACTTACTAAGCAATAAAGTATCAAAAATATGATTAAAAAAATTTATAGAATCAGTCATAAAAAATAGACATTGAATTAATAGCGAGAAGGTCCTGTATGACCAAATGATTTTAATTTCGATTTCATTATATATTTTGGGAAATATATCTTCAAAACGTATAATAATGATTTGAAAGCGATCACTGTTATTTTACTAAAATTTTCTTAATTTGTCTATTCAAGACCATATCGTAATCTAAATAGTGATAAATATTTCTCATGGTGATGAAAATTTTACAAATTAGTTAAAAGAATATTTTGATGGTTCTTTTATTTAATTAATTTTTTTTTATTATAATTGTATTTTCTTTTATTAAAACATGTAATATTATGTTATCTGTGGTAAAACGTATATAAAATCTCTAGGGCAGTATTATTAAAAAATACATATGTTACATGTATAGTACTTTTTTATATACGACTTCACAAGACTTATTTATAACGGATTTATACGTACGGAAAATAATATATTTTTATGTCGTAATGTATTATAGTATATCAAATTAATTATACATATATTTAAAATAATTTTACTTAACTCTTCCACCTAGACAGGAATACATAATTCATGAAAATATTTCAATACCAAATGTCAACCTTTAAAATTCTTTTGTATCCCATTTGCTTTCATTCCCAGCTCATATTTTCCTGTTACACGGCCCAGAACACCAGAACAATAGGAGTCAGGAGGAAAAAGGGAATATCCAATACCCATAGACGAAGCTTTACAAAAGCACTTCATAAAAATGGGAGAAGCGTCGCGAACGTCGCCATAACAATCGCTCCATACAAATAGACCGCAAAGTTCAATGCACACGACAAGTGACGTTATACTCCTGCCGATTTGAGGAGACATTTAATTCATTGGCAATAAACACAAGTCAGGTGCACTCTTTAATGCGGCCAACACCAGCAAAACAAGAGTGGTAAGTGTCGCTCACATTCACCTGCGCGAGAGACTATTCCGCAGTCGTGCACAGTAAACCGAGAGCGCCGCTTCCATTTTCAAACGCGTATTTTTTTCTTTAATTACTACAGTGTGTGTTGCCAGTTACGGGGACGGAGATCCTTAAATTGTAAGTTATTTTAATATTCATTTTAATTTATGTTAAATATTTAAATTAACTCATATGTCAGAAATTATATGCAATTAATTATAATATTAAATAGTTCTAATATTTTGATAAATATAATAGTAACAAATAGTGTTGACCGTTACATTTCTTCTTTATAATGATGAATACCTTTTTTGAAACTTAATAAGGTTTAACGAGTCCTGCATGCTTATTATGTCATATACTGGTGTACATACGAGCAGTGAAAGTGGAGCTGTTAGTCCGCAAGCAAATAACGGACGTCTAGAAAATTGTTACATAGAATTTGAAAGCTGTATTTTTCCGACAAATATTACACATATTACATTACAAAGTATCACGCGCTATTCGAATAAAGAAAAAAATATTTGTGCCTCGTATTTCCCTTGCGAATCTTTGAATTAAAGCAGTATTATTCCAATAAAACATATTCGCGGAACATATTCTGTTGATAAGATTTGATGCTTCAAATAATTCAAGAGAAAAATATTGTAGCTGTGATGTTAAAATTGTAGAACAGTGTTAGATTTATATATATATCTATATATATGTGTGTATTGTATAGGTGTAACATATTGAAAGCTCGGTGTACTTTAACAAAGACTAGCTGAGTCTGCGACTTTGTACCCATGGTTTTCGGAATAACAATACTTTATAACTTTAAATACTATATTTTATTGTTTGTAAAAATCGATATAAATGAGAATCAATTAAAAACACAAAAAGAAATATTATATTTTATTTATTCGTTATATATACTATTTTCTTTATTCGATAGAAATGATAAAAGACTATAATTATTAAAGTGCCTCTGTATGAGGCTTTAGCTTGACTGAGTAAGATGTAGCCATTATACATTTGGCAATGCATACCTTTTGACGACGTGACGGTAGAATTTTAAGCAGATATACTTATATTCTGAAAGGAATACTTTAATACCTGTGAATAAATTTTATATACGTACATATATTTCATTCACATATTTATTAAATTACACATTAATTTTCCTTTTGATACAAAGTACTTATATTATTGGTGGAAAACCAGTTAGTATTTAAAAAAGATTATAGTTAAATATTGAATATGTTGAAATTTTACAAGGGTATTAAATGCGAATTTACTGAAACAGCGATAATGTAGGGAACTTTTTAAGGATTATATGTATGTGTATAATATGTATGTATAAATATTATAATTAATAACTAATTTTATATTAATAATATATAGTGTAATAAAACATATAACTTTACAATTTTTAATGTATAATAAGAAATAATTTTAACTATCTTATAAATAGATAAAATTGCGGAAAAATGAAATGAATTCGTTTTAGTTCATTTGAATTAATTACGTAGGTAGGATATAACAAAAATATAGCCCCTAAAAGCTACTGAAACACATAGTTGGTAAAAAGTAACAACATTTTTATTTTTGTCAAATTAACTTGTTGAATTTCTATTTTACTGCAATATCGTGTTCGAATGATTGTTGTATGTAACATAGGATTGAACTATTGACCTTTTGCTATTTGGTTTAACGATTACACGATTGCATAACATAAAATTGCCAGTAATTAAAAATATTTTACCACCGATATTATTAACGGTAAAGTTTGTTAGAATGAATGGTTGTTTGTTGATCTTTTAGCACTTGGTTACTTGATTGATTTGATAGTTTTCGAGATAGATCACATTTTAAATCAACACGTAGGATATTTTTCACTCGAAAAGCGCCGCGGGATATGTCCGTCCGTCTCAATGTCTGGCAATACATAAATACATAAAATTAATTAGAAATACTAACTCTTTGACTCTTCACAGTTACAATCAAACTTCATATTGACATATTTTTAATTTAAATTTCTATTTTATATGAATAAAACATAAATCATTATAAATTTGATTGAATCGCCATCGTCGACGTCGCTCCACTTTGCAGGGTTGCATTTATAATTGCTTCGCATGAAAAGTCTCACAATCATTCCCATTCGAGATTTTGTTATTACTTCGAAATATACCCAGCTTTTAGGAACTGTCATAGAAATATATGATCTTATTCATGGAAGCAAATACTGTTTATGAAGTTGGTTAATAAACCTAGAGATAACAATGTTGTTTGTACATACACATCGCATAATCACAAAAATACATCTTATTATTTCGTTGTCTTATTTATGGTATTATTTTCTGAGTTTATTCTTCAGAAGTTTTATAATGTGCTTATACATATACATATCTTTGTTTTTTTCTATTAATCTATCTATCTTAAAGAGATTATTTAAAAGCTTTTTATAGTTTTTACTTTTTACCTACAAAGAGTTATTTTTTTAAATGTTAACATTTGTTTGTATTTAATGTGTAAATCACGTTTTAGCGGCATGATGGATAAATAAAAGTACACAGATATAACGTGAATAATACTTAAACTAAATTCAGATTCAGAAATAGTTTTCTCTGTAAAATATCAGTCATTATATGACTGGTCAAAACATTGCAACAATTTTAGTAAAAAAAAAAATACTGCGCAGAAAGGACTGCGTTAATTACCCGTAACATAAAAGCTTTGTAACGTTATCGATCCTCCATCCTTCCGCTCTACGAGATTATGGCAACATTACAGGAGATACTCTACACAGCATCATTTAACAGTGACATTCTGGGGATCTAAAAGCCTGTTAAATTATGTTTTTTTAAGGTATTTTTTTCTACAAAGTCCATTACTTGGGTATTCTATGTATCTGAAACTCAAAAGAAGTGGTAACATAATTTTTCACATGAAGGAACTCCTACGAGTTTCTGTCCTTTATACGAACAGAATATGAAGTATAAATATGTATTTTGAATATAGCGTTATCATGTAACGTAACTAAGGTCTCATGCCTGTCTCTCTATACGCTGTAATTACACTACTATATCACACTCTACAACTGAAAATCGATACTAATTTTATAATAGCTAAAGTTTGTGAGTTTGGATTTTCGTGATTATCTCCGGTATTTCTGATCCGACTTTAAAAATTCTTCAAATGTTATATAACCACACAAGTTTCTTGCTTATTCTTCTTGTGATGAGACAGCTTTCCGAATAAGCGGTAGATTTAAAAAAATGTTGACTATTCAAAAGTGCTTAAATTAAGTTTATTTGAATAAATGATTTTCTATAAAAAAAATATAAATATCAGGAAGGCTACAAAATATAAATATCGGAACTATAATAAAAAATATTACAAATAAAACGGGTAAAATATGATTCAGATGAAATTGCGTGGGGCAGCTGGTACCTTATAAAGCAAGCTGTTCTTCATTTCAAATATATGAGATATGGGTATCTATGCAATCAATATACAAAGTCCCTACCTTGGTAAAAAGGATCAATATATTAGGGTAGATAGATTAGTGTTACAAAGTGTAGCTTGGCAAAAAAGAATAGATAAATTAAGGTCGCTGGATCGATAGATTATGAAATTTCCATCAACATAATCCTATCCATTAAGTCAATGTTTTTAGCAAAATGTTTGTACAATGTCCGCCGCTCTTTACCTCTGATCACAATCACAATACATCACCATAATTGCCACTTAAAGACACTCACGGCCAGGAAATACCATTCCGTTCAATTATGCCTCCCATAAATTGAACGGGTGGCAACGTATTTTCGTGGTAAAACAAAAAGGATGGCGGATAAAATCTGGTAGAACGTCTTTTTTGCGACTGGTATGGCATTGTTTGCTTGGTGATGGACCACTCGATGGAAATTATCAGTCAAATAAGGATATGAAACACCAAAGATATATAATCTATACATATAAATAAAATTGGAGTGTCTGTTTGTAATATTGAAATAATAATAATTATAATAATCTCAGGACAATTCATACAGCGCCATCTAGTCCCAAGTTAAGCTAGCTGAAGCTTGTGTTACGGGTACTATCTAACTGTTACAAGTACATAGATAATTTTTTTTTCGTAAATACATATATAAAAAACACCCAGACCGATACAAATTCAAATTCAAATTCAAAATATCTTTATTCATGTAGGTCTATTACAGACTCTTATGATATGTCAAATCTACCGTCAGTTCGGAACTGAGAAGAACTGACAAGAAACTACTCGTATTTTTTTTTTAATGTTGTACATATTTACAATAATACTAATTCATTCAAATTCAAATTTGGGAGAATAGAGTGACCACCAGCATATGATATTGAAAAAAAAAGAAACAAAAAATCTAATCAGTGTTCGCAACCTGAACAGACCAGTCCCCACAAAGCACCCGTATCATGAGCCAGCCATCATTGCACTCAACCATATTAGAGGGAGCACATCGACCGACCACGCCGCCACAAGTTTGAACTTTATAGCGAGCATGACTGTTTCAAGTTACTCCACTACGTCATTTATATTATTTACAGCGGTGTGTCATTATGTCAATAATATAATACAAACTATCATACTCATGAATCGAACCCGCGACCATCGGACGTAAAGCGGTGTGCTAGACCGCTAGACCACCGAGGTCGTCAAAACCGTTTTTACTACATGCATATGAATATAAATACGGTACATACACCAAAATGTCATTTTTTACAATTTTTGTGTGTCTGACCGTTTGTTCTGGCTTATCTCTGAATTGGCTGGACCTATTTAACGGGACTTTTATTGGCAAGTAGATGATGTAACATAGGCTATCTTCATTTTAGAAAAATAAAATTCAATTTAGCTAATATTATATACATTTATGTATCGTATGTAAGTGTGTATGTCAAATAATATGTATTATTGATAAATTGGAATTTATGCGTATAAATTATGACGTAAAGTTACCACGTAGGAATGTTTCTAAACTATAGTATAATGCGCCGCTTACTAATTTCTCAGTTTGCCTTATGGTTGACTGGTAGAGAACCCCCTTAGGTGTTCAGTTCGCCATATGTACATTTATATATTGTGTTTGTGCATTAAAGTTATATAAATAAATAAT